GTGCAACTACTATTGTCACTAAGGACACTGTTGCAGTGTGAACCTCCATCACTTGTGGTACTTGTGCATGATCCATAGTCACTGCTAGCACTACTGAAGGATCCATTGTCACTGGCTGCAATACTGCCAAGACTGCCATTCAACATGGTAGTGCTGCTCAAGTGGCTGGTAGTATTTATCATGTTAGATGGATAATCAGCAATATTTCTCCCAGAACAGTTTCCTTCATTGCCAACACCAGTGAATGATGAATCCTCATTAGTAGCCACTGTATCACCAGACTGAAGACATCCACTGTACTTTCTAGACTGCAGGGAAATCTGAAGTGAAGTGCTCTTTTTGTTGTTTTTTTGCAACGAGGAACTGCTTGCACTTTGCTGTTGATTAATTATTTCCTGCATTACAGGTGGAAAGACTGCTTGCCTGGGAGTCAGTTTCATTTCTATGACACTAGATGCAGAATTCTGTGAAGGTCTTTTGAAATGCATATAAATATTATTATCCAAGTCATCTTCAGAGGTTTCTGACAGTGGATCGGTGTTGCTTCTTCGGGCTGCAAAATGCAATCTTAACCTTCGTGCCATCTGTACTCATTTCTACACATGTTAGCAAATGAAAACCATAAAGCTCCTTCTGCAGAATAACTTAAGGCAACTTCATAGAATCTAGATCCAGTTCAAGTACATCACAAAAGTAAAAGCCCATTAAGGTTGCAGACTTCGTACGAAATTCTACAAGATACTAACTATTATACAAAAATTACCTCCTGGAATAAATCAGCCATTCCCTGAAATGCAGTTTCTGGACTGTCTGATTGCTTGTAGTCAGAGAGTATACACACAAAGCACTTGAGTTCCAATGACCTTTAAACTGAACTCAGCTGCCGCATTCTGACAAATACTGCCAAGCGTATTGCAATTATACCTTCTGTAAGTTGCATAAATGAATACAACTCAAGAATAATCTCCTAATACTTCGAGTTTAAAACAGCAACTCCTCCTGCAGCTACACTAGCTGAGTCAATGTGTCCGTACTTTCCCTCAGCAGCGTATGACTACTAATATTTTTACCCAGAGGTTTAGAATTACAGGAAGTTGGTAGGAATGAAGTCCCATATAACAGAGTACCAAATCTAGCATTGAATTTCCAAATAGCAGCCATGCTAAAAAACTTGTGAAAGTTTGAATATCGGCATATGCCGATAAACTAACCAATTTTGTATTAATAAAAGGTTAAAAAAACAGAAGTTATTTCAGGAATCTTAAAGTTACTCAGTAATCATACATAACATTGATTGTCAATTAGGGGAGCCCTCTACTGTTTTAGTTAGCTTTTTGTTTTAAGCAAGATGCAGAAGAGTTAAAATTAAGTATAAAACTGTCCACTTTATAATTTACCATTCAAGGTTTCAAATGTTTTTCTGAAATGTGTACATCCAACCCCTTCCAAGTCAAAGCTGTGCTTTGTTAGCATTATCATCCACTTTTCCTAATCCATACGTTTCAAACTGAAATATCCAGTTTGTTGGCCAGCAATTCCTGATCGGCACTAGCTTCTTTGGGTATTTAAAAAAGGTTAGATAGCCAGGTTATTTAGTGGCATGTCGACTCCTGAAGTTTGTTTGTAGCTATTCATCTAGAAGCAGACATAAATCTGAATTTCACAATGTATTTTTTCCCTCCCAATTGCAGTACAAGTGTGCAATCCAGTAGGTGCAACCGACAGGAAAGAGATGGCTTCCAAGCTACACTATAACAATTATTGTATGCAGACTTTTAAGTTATATTCACAGTTAGCTAATGTAACAGTGATTGTTTTATATAACAATTCATCTGTAACCAAGCAAAAACATATTGGCAGTATTTTCCAAAAATGTAAAACTGAACTAACTTGGACAATTTCTGAGTGTTTCAGTTTATCATGTAGACCAAAAAGGCCCTTTGCTGGCACCTGGTGGAGGTTTTAAAAATTGATACTCTTACTGTTACTACGAGTGTCTGAGGTAAATGTCCGTTCATGAAAGTACTTCTGAATACAGAAGCCATGCATCATGCAGTGCTAAACCCTACCATGCTAACATGGGATTATTTACTGCTGTTGATAAAGTCCAAACAGTAGAGAACACTAGACCATTTATATATATATTTTAATAGGTCATACTGATGGCTTTTTTCTTACTCAATATTTACTTAACCATTACAGTATTTTCAGTCTGCATGCAATAAAATTAAATTTTACCTTCTCCCAACATAAGAAACCAGTAATTAAGTGTCTGTAGTACATTATTCAAATGAAACAAGTTTATCTTTTAATAATACTCCTGGGCTCATTTAACCCTTTCATTATCCAAAGTTGACAGATGCAACAATACATACATGCTAGCTAATTCATAAAAAAGTCAACAAAATACAATAGTTCAGCTATTTTTCAGGTATCGCTAACCAGAATTCTTCAAACCCAACATTAAGGGGAGGAAAAGAGGTCAAAGACCCCCAAAAGCTTTTTTTGTTCACAGCTTTAGAAAGCTATGTTTAGTTTTCAAGCAATTTATTTTCCTCAAGTCTCAAGATTTGAAGGAAAGCAAGAAGATTTCATTTTTTACAGAAGCAAAAGTGGTTCTATAAGCACCTTAACGTTTATTAGTTTTAATTAAAAGAAAAACAGCATTTTAAATACCTACCAGAGCACAACCGTTTTCGAAACAAGATCTGAGGGATGGTACTAGGCTCAACATTTCCCCCTCCCCTTCTCCATGCCTATACAATTTTAAATATTTTTTCCCCTATACTTATGGTAAAATGGGAGAAGAAGTAAGCTGACAGTAGTTTCACCAACTAGGGTGTCAAATTTAAGCCAAATGTCATGACGTCCTTTTATCAACTTAGCTATTTAAAAAAGGACCTCCATTATGGCCTAGTTGACCAAAATTATATGGCTCTTGATGCAGAATTCTGGCCTGCTGAAGTCAATAGGAAATGCTAAAGATGAGTCTTTTTCAAATATCATATTCAGGAATGTCTGCAACACTTATAATACTGGTCAGTGCTACTTTATTTGTCATGATGGGAACAGCTATGGGCACCAAAATGGCCTCACAGTATGCCAACCTTTTTATGAGCCACCTAGAAGAAGACTTGCTCAAGAACTGCACCATCAAACCCTTGCTATACTTAAGATATAATCAATGACATCTTCATCATTTGGACTGAAAACCTACGATCTCTGAGTTCCATCAGAAATTCAACAATCACCATCCCTCCATCCAACTTTCTCTAGAATACTCCAGCACCAACATCTCCTTTTTAGACACGATGATCAGTATCCAGAATGATAAAATACAGACCACTTTATACAAGAAACCCACAGACCAACGTACATATCTGCACAGAACCAGCAATCACCCTAAACACACCAAAAAAGCTGTGATATACAGCCAAGCCCTCAGATACCACCACATTTGCACTAAAGAGAACACCCGGGATTGCCACCTCACCAATCTTAAAAAGGCTTTCACCCAACAAGGACACTCCTCCAGAGAGATAGATCGCACGTTTGAAAGAGCCACCCAGATACCACGTAAAGAACTGCTGCAGTACAAAAGAAAACCCCCCACAAAATCGCACACCGCTGGTTATGACGCATCACCCCTCCCTTGAACCTGTATGGAAAATCCTCAAACAATTGCAACCCATACTAGAAAGAGACCCTATTCTTAAAAAGATCTTCCCAGAGCCACCCATCCTAGCCTTCAAATAAGCACCGAACCTCGCTAACCTCATCACCGGAAGCAAACTTCCTCAAGCCCAGAACACACCAAAAGGATCCAG